TTCGGAGGAACGCGGAAATTCAAGACCCTGGTGATGCAGTGCGTGACTTGCCGGCGTAATGTGAAGTGCACAAGAAAATTGCGCACTTCCATCCTTGACATTTCTAATGGTCAATCGTTGAGTGTTCGCAAGTTGTTTTGGCCGCACATCTTACGAAGTGCAGCCAAAAAAGGAGACAGTCTTCGGATTACCTCAACCCCATTACGCTTATACATCTCAACCCCTGTCATTGACATAAATCAAACCCACGATGTAGCAAACTTTACGAATAAAGCAAGCGCGTGAAGTCCTCCCACGAGAATTACCACCAAATCAGTAAGTGAACACGAAATCTCACATGTAAAAAAATTCCAAAGCCAATGAAGAGAAGAAAAAAATAAAGACGTGTTCACCCAAATAGACGATTTATTACCGGTAGGCAAGACTTCTACCGTAATAGCGGTAGCTAATGTACACGAAACACAAAAACGCCTCGTCGACGCTCGCCAGAAACATCATAGTCTTGGAGGAAAACACCAACAGGCGCAAATTAGAAAAAAAGAGAAGTAGGTAGCAAAATGACCTCAAACAACCTCGTCAACCCCTCTAAATTGTAATGGTCATCGTCGTGTGACAGGAACAATGTCGCAAAAAGGCAAATCATAATTACAAGTAAAATGCGGAATTTGCAGGAAGAGGAGGAAAGACCTATCGGGTTTAATTCCAGAGTACCGCAAAGTTGCCTGAGAAAGCAGATCCAATAGGACCACCCGCAGTAAACAATCGCAAACCACTGGGATCGTATTCATGAGTGTACACGGCTTTGTTAGTTCCAACAGAATGCCAATTGCTTTCTATCCAATTCAAGTTGTCGAGAGTCAAGTTCTCTAAAAGTACCGAATCCCCAGGTGGCTGTGGTAGATGTGGCTGATCTACGGCTCCATTAATCTGCGTTCCTTCATCTTCTCCATCCTCTTCCTCCTCATCTCTCACCGTTTCCTCATCGCTGGAAATCCGTACAATTGGATTATCCACATCTGTAGCCTCCAGGGTGACACGGAGATTGTGCGTAGAAATTCGGCGTCGTAGATCGGCTGTGACAAATCGAAATTGTTGTAAAGCTCGTTCCCGAACCTGTGGACGAACGGCAAGGGAACTGATGAAATTGATCAAATGCAAGTCGATTTCACTAAGCCTCTCAGAATCCGATGAAATCTGCAAGTCACTTGAAGCAGAAGGGAGATTGTCAGTTGAAAATTCAAAGGAGAGTTCCGACTCATCTGGCTCCTCTTCCTCCTCCTCTTGACGCTCCGAGGTGCTTTCTAAACCGTTTGGATAAGCGCCTGCAGCCAAGTCTGGGAGACCGTCATCTAGTGAAGTGTGCATACACGGAGAGGCTGTAGCTTTCTTGGATACGGTTTCAGTGTCAAGGTGATTCCCCAAATGCTTGTCAGCCACCAAATCATAGAAATGCACTTTTCCCAAAGAAGTGCCATAAGAGAGAATGTTGCCGGAAAAATTGAGCGATCTAACACAGGAACGGCAGGAAGCAGGTGGTTCCACGATGCGAGGAATTGTTCGCCGAATCTGCGACCGACAACGAATATCGAATAAAAGCACCGAGCGATGAGTTGCTAATGACACAACGTGAGGATTATTTGGCCATCGTCGCAGAGCTACCGCCTCCTAAGGCAGAAATACGTATAACTTTAAGCTAAGTAATGGAATTGATTTCCATTGAAATCAACTTTTACCTTGTCAGAGGAAAGAAGAGGCATTTTAAAAAAGGGTTGCTGGTCACCTGAAGTAGATGAGAAGAGGGAATCTAGATCATAAAGGTAAAAGTAGTGCGACATAGAGACAACTGTTAACATATTGCGAGTAGGGAGGTATTCAAGAGCTCTGAATCGATCATCTGGAGTTCGGGAGAGGGTGAAAGCAATGGGTGTACTTATTAGGGGGTGGCGGTATATAGGTCGAGGACGATTTATGGAAGAACCAGGATCGTGTGAGATCGTCGGGGATGAATGCATATTGTGCTCTGGTAACCGCCATAAGGCTAAGCAGGAATCCCGCGAGCATGAAGCCAGAATTTCCTCTTGGACCCATCGCAAATCAAATATACAGTTTTTGTGTCGCTTCTAAAGTTAGAAATAGTGAACCACATTAATTAATAACTGATGCTGGCCTTGAATCTATTCGGTGACTAGATAGACGTGCATAGGTGAATTATCAAAGAATGTCCACATCAGACGGTTAATGCATAAAATTACTTTAGCATGAACAAACAGCTAAAAACGATTTCACATGAGAAACTAGACACTATAGTATATATTGTTACAACATCTCATTAAAGCAATAAAGAGGTAAACATCAAGTCAAAATCAGAATACTAACCTCAAAT